GGACAACATCTGAGGACAGAAAGTGTTTGAAAAAGATGCTATTTAAGGATTCATTTTCAGAAATGGAATATAATATTCATAGGCATGTTTTCATTAGTGTTTAATAATAATTGTTGCAACTTTGCCACTAAATCCTTCACACTGGACCTTTAACTATAGTCTAAAGAGCATGGATTAGCCTAGCACATAGCATATCTAAGTACAGGAGAGGAGGAAGTTGCTTTCTCAACTGTTATTGGACCACAGCAGAACGGGGGTTGGGGCTTAAGAAGGGTAAGGTAATCATTAGTTGCAGAATAAGAACATAAACAAGCTCATCATTAAATTTCACATTCTGATCAAATCTCATATCACCTTTAAACCCTCAACACGCCTCCATATTAAAACATCTTTCACTTCCTGTTTGAACTGTTCCCTCCGTGTTACTCTCCTCTCCTCCCACCCGGTTTCTTCCCGGCTTTGTTCATTCCTCCCTGGACCTACACAGTTCGCAGCTCGTGGGCGTCGCTCTCACTCGCTCTGCGCACAATCGGCGGCACTGCCCTCACCTTCGAGCAGGGCGCAGGGGCAGTTTGTCACCGTGGAAGCGCAGGAATGTGGAGGATTTAAAAGATTACTTCATTCATATTTTACGCCCACTGCCACTGCTACACACAGTGCTTTCTGTAAGAAGGTTTGCTCCGGTGTAGATCAGAGAGAGACAACCCGGTCAGCTCAGCATTCATACAGTGTTTGTGGTTATGATGAAGGAATGAGAATATAAACTCATCTTTTACAGGACTTTTACTTTATTGGTTTATACAATGTTTAATGAGTTCAACTGTGATACTGCTACTTTAACTTAAGATCTGAGTACTTTAATTATGTTTAATGAAATGCTGCAAAAAAAAAATTCTATTTTACTGATGATGTGTAACCAATCAGATTGGGCTACAGAGAGTTACATATTTTTAAATCATTTTATTAGTAATCAGATTAAAAAAATACAGATACTGATAATCGTAGTATTGGATCCGTTAATGGTCCAGGGTCTATCCTGAGTACGAACACATTGTATTACCTCATTACTGTGAGGTTGTAATATACAAATAAAATAGCATTCACGCTGTTTGTTCACCAATATTAGTGATTTATTGATACAGATTATGCTGGTGATAGAAGAACTAGGACAGTACTTCCTTTCAGTTTACGTCATTGTTCTGCATTTATCAAGTTCACAATGAATCTGGAATTAATTAACACAACAGGTGAACTCCAACAGGGGGCGCTACCGGCACACAATCACATGATAACCAAATACATGGAAACTAACATGTATATCCTAACATAATATAAGTTACACTTATATTTGGTGTTATATCTTTGACCTTAATATGGGTGAATTTATTGCCCTTAATCACAGAACAGCAATCTGTACAGTTATGACCCTCTTTAGATCTGAGATAAAGCATGATGAATGGGCCTCTTTGGACAATCTGACTTCACTGGTTAATCACAGAAGTTAGAAGACGTCTTATTAAAGTATCCTGGCAGAGTTTTAAAAGCTACCTGAGGGTCACTGTTCAGTATGTGCCAGCGTCTACTCGCTGCTGATTGGACTGATCTGGATTTAGGACTGTAGCTGGACACAGACGTGAGGCCCAGATTAGATGTTTCTCTATGAATGAATAACTCCTGTGAACTCTTCATACCCTTTTAACAGCTCAGAGCTGTCGCTCAGTTTAGGACATTTGAAATCGATGGATCTTCCAGAAAAAGTCAAATAAAACATTTTTTACTGCATCTTTGGTTAGAGATTTCCTACATTACCCAGAAAGCCCAGAAAAGGTGAACTGAGACTAAGGTAATTAAATACATTTAATGACAGTTTTCAGTCTTATCTAAGCAGTGAAATAAACCTCTGACTGTTTATATTGAAGTAATGCTCCTCATGAAACTCACAGGCTGTTTGTTTTGCCCTATAACCTCGCCTTGCCTCTGACGTTTGCCCTGCTTCCTCGTCTTCCAGGTGGCTGCGCGATCAAGAACCAGTCGAGTCAGACGCTGGAGCACTGTGCCGAGCTGCTGGGCCTGGAGGAGGAGGACCTGAGGGTCAGCCTCACTACCAGGGTCATGCTCACGACAGCAGGGGGCGCCAAAGGAACAGTCATCAAGTAAGAGGCCGCACGCACACTAACAGATGCACACACATACACACATATATGCACACATGCATGCACACACACGTTGTGTTTATTTGTTGGTTTTATGATTTCGTCTGCGTCTCGACCAGGGCAAAACTATATTTTTTATATTTTTGGATATTCTTCAGTGTCTAATGAAAAACTATTTTTGAGTATTTATATATTTATATTTGCACTTTGGGCCGTGAGAAACAACATTCTCACACACTCTGAATGTGGAAATAACAGTAAACAAGCTTGAACACTTTTAATAAGTGATTATAGTACAAACCGTATAAAACAAATCCACAAGGTCACACATCCTCTGAGGAAACATACAGCGGCAGTTAACAGAAATAACTCTGTGTGTGTCGGGACGTCAGATGGTTTAAACTGGATGGTTTCAGTGAGCAGCAACCGTTGGTGATTGGTTTAGATAAACGGCCAATTATGATTTTAATTCATGTGCAGGTAAAAATATGACTGTGTGTAGCACGGGTCAGGGGTCGAAATGCGGATCTTAAATTAACGGGTCGGCTCCGGTTCTATTCATAAATATATTCATTTCATATATTAATCATAAAAATATATGAAACATAGCGACTAAATAAACATCAAACGTCAATTTCACGACAAACTCAGTGTTCTGAGGAAGATTGTGTGACATGACTGAAAGCTCCAGAACTGCTGCTAAATGGACCTTGTGATGAGACTTTCTGTCCACAACTGAAACTGTTTGACAAGAAAGGCAACGATCAAAATATGTTAGACAAACGAATGGAATCTGGTGCAGCAGACTCAGATTAAAGTCAAGGCCCCTCGGAGGTGTCCCGAGGTTGGGAACCACTGCACACACACACACACACACACACACACCGATGCAAATGGAGCAGATGGTTGATGTATTGCTTGTCTATGAATGCCGCTCACATCAGAATAAACTCAAATGCTTCGGACTCTGACGGCGCTCCGACCGCTGGCTGACTCGCCTCCTCGTTTTACCGTCCAGCTATGTAAACGTCGGATCAGACCGCCGTCGCCAACCGTTAGAATTAATAAAGTGCTCGGCCAGCTGTGCTGTCAGCGCAGCATCTGGATGCTCAAATTAGTTTGATTTGGAAAAATTACTGGAGGGTTGCTCCTGTTTCCTACATTTCCCAGGAGGCTTTGCGACAACCCCAGTGAAAGTGGTGTGAGTGTACACCGTAAACAGGAGGGAAGAACCAGTAATTTCACATTTGTGTATTTTAAAAAGAAGTTTATGACCTAAAATGTTTATTGCAGCAGTACAGCACAGTTAGATATTGGCTCTGACCTCGAACCCTCAGCTGGATCCTACAGGTGGATTCTGGGGGATTTGGGGGGGTGTGGGCATTGATGCAGCAGAGGAAGAGAGCTGCAGCTTTAAACAGACCGCCAGATTGGGAGGGTGTGTTTGATTTGTGGTTTTGGAGAGTGCAGCTCGCAGGCGTCACTCCATTTTATGCTCCCCTGAGGCTGAGAGAGGCTGAGCTGTAGAGAGCAAAGATGGATGATTTAATGTTTCATAACTCTGTTCTAACCAAATCTGACGGATATCGACCTCTATATGGAAGAAAATGACGCTGCTTTTTTGCTGTGTAATAGTGGTGTGGTGTGTGTGAACGTACTCGAGAAAAAAACGAAAACACACACGTATAAGTTTGAATTAAAGCTCTAACTGACGCAGCATCAGGAGCAGTTTGAGGTTCAGATGACTGACTGTGTTTATAACGGACAGAGCTTCCAGGTCTGTGACGTGTCTTAAACCTGCATTCTGTCTAATGGCCAGCAGGAGGAGCTCTATTGGCTGCTCAAAGAAGCTGATAGTATTGAGTCTTATAGACAAGTTGATTTATGAGCTCAGTAAACAGTTTCCTGATGAGTTTCTGGTCTCAATCTCTAGTTTCAGTCTTCCATATGGCATGATGTTCATTTCGTAAATTATTATTGACAGGTCATTCTCAGTGCAGCTCAAAGAAACTGAAAATACACTTATAACACACTGAACACGCACAAAAAAACACCATAAAAAGACAAAAATGACACTAAAAACAAATGTTTTGTGCAGATTTGAGGATATTTTAATGTCAGACTGCTGGCAATATCTTAATGTGACACCAAGCCGCTGTACACTAAGTTCTAAGTTCTTTTTTTTTTTTTCATATAATCACTTATATATCTGTAATTAAGACTTCACCACTAACCTTCATATGTGATCTTGAGCCTCTGAAATCGAGGGGATTCCTGTTTATGGGCTCTTACTGAAGGTGACCTTTATGGTTTGCTGCAGCTTGAACAAATTATGCTGATAGAAAACATCCTCCTCTAATATTATTAATGGCCCCTATTTAGAAAGGCGAGGTGAATAAAAGCACAATCTATCCAGCAGGTGTGAGGAAGTGTGAGGCTGCAAACAGTTCATTGATATCCACTCTGTGTAGAGATATGTATGTTAAAGATATGTTTTATATATGATATGGTTTCAGTCTCAACGAGGCTGTTTAGCTTCTGTACGTACCTTTAATTTCTCTCCAGTTGCTGATAGCACCGCATGCTAAACTGTGAGAGACCCTAATTTACATTTATGGTGTAAAATTAAATGTGACAGTCAGCATGTTGGAGCACATATGGCCTCCTGCTGCAGGAAAACACCCTGAAGTTCACACAGTAAAGGAGGTTGCTAACAGGTTCCAGGTTAGGATATCATGCCAACAGACTGAGGATAAAGCTAACAGGTAGCTCCAGTGAGTAACCGTAGCTGAAGGATGAAGTTGAACGCGATGACTTTTGTGAGGGGTTAGGTTTAAACTCAGTGGACACCGGCGTGACGTGGTCACAGATAAAGACTTAAACGAACTTGAGGGCAAGAAATGAAGCGTCTACAACCAGGCAGACGGCTCAGGCCATCCGCGGCTTTATCGATCGGCTCCGGCTTAACCTGATCAATTATGAACCTGTTACAGAGGAGGTGGAGGAGTATTATAGCATTTTTACGGCTCAGTGCTCAACGCCAAGGGAGAGCTTGAGGTATCAGACGCTACCTGGAGCTCAGAGCTGGAGTGATACCTAAACAAACCCCCCCCCCATCAGAGCTCAATGCAGCTAATAACTTAATCCTCAGAGTGATGGAGAAGATGAGACAGGAGAGCAGAACCACACCAGCAGGCTGTGATGAGAAAACATTCATATCCAGACCACCCAGGAGGCTGCTAATGGGGTCCAGACTGACCCACCGGAGCAGTTTAAGTCAGAAATACAGGATTTATCCATAAAACAGATTATTATATTATTTATTACAACTTCATTTATTGAGTACAGTCTGTAATTTCTGCTGATATGAGGCCCTTTACATCCAAACCATAAAGAAAGACTGAAAGAAAGTTTCCTCCAGTAGCAGCCTGTTTTGCAGTTGGTGATTGTTGGAAAGACTAACAGAGACGGTTTTGGTGAGTTCGGTTGTGTTTCTGTCCACTTTGAATGAAGTTACGATGATGATAAGCAGGTAAGGTCTATGGAGTCTGGTGGTTTTAAATATGCAATGAGGCATTATCTAATGCTAACCTTTGGTGAAATCTACACAGAAAAAAATGATCCCAAAATCTCAAAACTTTCCTCGCCTTGTTGACAAAAGTATCCGACAAACGTTTCCAAGGTAACAGCAGAGACGAGCAGTCGGATATAGAAACGTAAAGACGAAGACAGACAGAGTGACAGTCCCCTCGATCCAAGTTCCCGTCTGCATTTAGCCTGAACCCAGTCGCTCTAAAGCCTCTGATTGTTTTGCTGGCAGCTCGGGCCCCGGCACACACCATCTGAATGCCAAGCCACTCACTTCAATTTGAAACCTCCCACGCTAATGTTTGTTTCTCCTCTTTCATCTGTGGAGAGAGGAGCCGGGCAGATGAATTAAAAGCTGCTTCCTGTCTTTGCCTGTCTCCCTGAGTGTCAGTTGACGCTGCCCTGCTTGTCATACACTCTCCATTAACGGACATGTGTCTGACAGATCCCGCTGACACTTTCTCCTGCTGCCTAAATGCATGCATTCACTTTAAATGTTCTACATCTGTACGTCACTATCACAAAAAACAGGTAGAATTGCGTAAAACAAACGAACCCGTCGTCGGGAGGACAGCTGTAAGCAGCATAAACAGCACCTCTGCACTGACAGATGAAATCCTTCAACACTGCATTTCATATCGAAATCTACCAGTTTGGAAGTGGAAGAAACTCTTCCAAAGAGGGCGCTGTTCTGCCAGAGGAGCCGGCGCTTCCTGCTGGCGGGCAGACAGTGGAGGGGATGAAAAGCTGATGGGGGGGGGGAATAAAATCAGTGTTTATTCTCTCCATTAAAGCCAAAAAGAAAAACCTTTCAGATTGAGGAAGCAAAAGATTCTCTTTGCACAAGGAGGCAGCAGACTTTCTGGTGGTGGCAGATGGTTGGAGGGATGGGAAAAAAATTGTTTCCAACATGTTCATCCCCTTCAGGGAGGAGGAAGCTGCACAATAAGTTTAATGGGAACTGCAGCTAATGTTCAGACACAACAGCAGTGCTTGTTGCATTTTAATCAAGTACATACTCTCAGAAATGACAGATTATAATGAGAATATAGAAGTCGTTCTGTTACTAGAAATATTAGCATTTCCTGAAGAGAATGTGTGTGTGATTGCTGCTTCACCTCTGAAGATACCTCCCAAAATGTGTGTTAACTGAATATATCAAGAGATATTGAATTAATGGCCACGAGGTGGAGCTGTTGGCACCATGCTTTATCAACAGAAATATACAGTATATATATTGTTACTGTAGCGCCCCCTGTTGGTAGAAATGCTACACATGCTTCATGTACGACGTTCCCAAATTTGGTTGCATTTGAAATTTGGTTAGCGTTGAAGAGTTACGGGGTTACACTGGGACCATAAAACTTAAACTATTTAAAACCAGATTACTTTTCTAATGCAAAACAAGCTCG